TGGCAGGGGGGGGACAGCGGGGATGGGGTGTCCCAGCACCCCCCCCAACCACTGCGGGCACAGGGGACGTGGCAGGGGGGGGACAGCGGGGACAGGGTGTCCCAGCACCCCCCCCAGTCACTGCGGGCACAGGGGATGTGGCAGGGGGGGACAGCGGGGACAGGGTGTCCCAGCACCCCCCCCAGTCACTGCGGGCACAGGGGACGTGGCAGGGGGGGGACAGTGGGGACAGGGTGTCCCAGCACCCCCCCAGCCCCAGCACCCCCCCCTCACCTCGGGACAAAACCTCCTCCTCCACGTTGTCGTCCTCGCTGAAGTCGATGTAGGCTTCGAGGTGGGCGAGCGCCTGGGAGGCGGGAGGGGGGTCAGGGGGACACCCCGCTGTGTCCCCGGGCCGCAGAGGAGGGACCAGCGGCCGGAGCCGAGGCCGGGGCGGCCCTGACCTGGGTGAGGGTGTCGCTCCAGCGCTGGTAGAGCTGGCCCAGCTCGCCCTCCATCTGCCTCAGCGCCTGCCGCCGCTGCGCCTCCGTCTCCGCCCGGATCAGGTCCCCCAGGCCCTCGGCCGCCGTCAGATCCAGCTTCCCCCGGCGGAACGCTCGGAGCGTGAACTCCCCGGGATCGGCGGGACGGAGCCCCGGGAGGCGCCCTGAGAGCCCCCCCGTGAGCCCCCGCCCACAGCACCCCGAGGGGGGGGAAAGAGGGGTGCGGGGGGCTCACCCAGCACCCCGAGGGGCAGGATACAAGGGGAAGGGGGTAGGAAGGATGGGGGGAGGCTCATCCAGCACCCTCAGCACCCTGAGGGGCAGGATCTGATGGGAGAGGGGCAGGATGTGACGGGAGAGGGGCAGGAGGGATGCAGGGCCAAGGATGGCTCACCCAGTGCCCGCAGCACCCCGCTGACCACAGCAGGCCCCCCGTGCACGTGCAGCTCAGCACAGTCCTCCCCGGTGAAGCTCCGGGGTCCTGCGGGGACACACGGCCTGGGTGGGCACCAGCTGAGCCCCCCGGACCCGGCACATCCTTCCCGTGGGAACAGGCACATTTCGACCCCATAGGAGCTCGGGGGGGCTCAGGAGGGACCCCCCAGTAGCAGCTCTACAGGATCAGTGCAGAGGGGCCAGCGGTGACCCAGGGCCACCCCCGAGGGGTCCCCCCAGGCGAGGGGGCTGTGGCAGTCACCGAGACCCCCCCAACCAAGCCCCGAAGACCCCTCCCGAGCCCCAGCCCACCCACCCCACCTGGGAACCAGACGACGAGCCCGCGGTCGAGGGTCTCGGCGGTGTCGGGGTCGCGGATGCGCCGCAGGGCCAGGACGCGGGGCGGGGGCAGCTTGGGGGTCCCGGTGAGGGTCTGCAGGGCCCCCCGGCTGCCCGGGCCGCTGGCGCGGATAACGGCGACCCCGCAGCGCCCGGGGGCCGAGGACAGGGCGAAGATGGTGTCCCCCCCCACCCCCGCCGAGGAGCTGAGGCACCGCGCCCACCTGGGAAGGGCGGGGGGTCCTTATCCACACCCCCGGAGGGGCACAGAGGGTGCAGGGGGTGCGCAGCCCCCCTCAGCCACCCCAAAGGACCCCCGCCCGTGCACCCCCTCCCCAGAGTCACTCCCTCCCCAGGGTCACCCCCACACAAAGGGCACCCCTTCCCTGGGTGAACCCTCTCCCCAGGGGCACCCCCTCCCCGGGTACTCCCCCTCCTCAGATGCATCCCCTCCCCAAAAGCATCCTCTCCCCTTGTACTCCCCCTCCCCGTGAACCCCCTCCCCAGGTACCCCCCTCCCCCTGCACCCCCCTCCACACCAGGGCAGCCCTACCCCCACGCACACCCCTTCCCGTGCGCCCCCTCCCCAAAGTGTCCCTCCCCCCGCAGGGTATTCGCCCCCTCCCCGGGACCCCCCCGTTTAGCCCCGGGGTGCCCCCACCTGCCCCCCGCCGCCCTCAGCGCCCTGGGCAGCGCCATGAGCGCGGCTCACGCTGCCCTCACCCCGCGCCGGCCTCAGCGCGGGCGCCTCGCCCCGCCCACCTCGCCTATTCCCATTGGTCAGCGCTCGCAGGAGGGCGGGTTTAGTGCTGCGGTCGCGTTTCTGATTGGCCGGAAGCGGCCATGGCGCTGCGCCGCCTGAAGCCGCGGGGCCCGGGCGGTTCCGCCCGGCGCGGGGCGCGGCCCTGCCCGGGGGTCCCCGCCCGCAGCCCCCCATGGGCCGTCCCCCTCTGTCCTCACCCTGCTCCCGGGGGGATGCTGGGCTGGAACCCACCCACCCCCCCCCTTGCCACGGCTGTACCCTAAAAATAACCCCCAGCTCCGCACGACCCTGAGCTGTGGGGGTGCCCGTGTCCCGAGAATTGGGGTGACCCCCCCCCGCCATGGCGGAGCCCACCCCTGCCCCGTCCGTCCCTTTCCTCTGCACCCACTGGTGTCCCCGTGCCTGTCGGGGGAGGTCCCTTTGCCCCCACCCCGACACAAGCTGTTCTGGAGCACCTGGAGGTTTTGGGGGACCCCTGCCCACCCTAGAGGGGGTCCCTGCGCTTGGCACCCCCCGCACCCCGAGGGGCTGAGCCCCGGCTCCGCACCGAGCCAAGCCGGAGCTGCTCATCCCCCGGGGAACCCCTGCTCCATCCGGGGGGGGGGGTCTCATCCCCGCGGGGGGGTCGGGACTGACCCCTGGGTTGCGGGGTGGGGGGTCCCCACAAACAGGCCCCTCGCGTGCGGCGGGAGGGACCCCCCCCCCAACCGCCCGCGCCCGCAGCGCTCCGTGAACCAGAGAAATGATTCCCGAGCAGCGTCACGGCTGTGTCCGCTCCTCAGCCCGCACCCCATCCCTGCCTGCATCCCTGCCTGCATCCCTGCCTGCATCCCGCTCCTCAGCCCGCACCCCATCCCTGCCTGCATCCCTGCCTGCATCCCGCTCCTCATCCCACATCCTATCCTGCATCCCATCCCAGCCCATCCCGCCCCCCATCCTACACCCCATTTGGCCCCCCATCCCTGTCCCCATCCAGCCCCCCAGCCGGGACCCAAGTTTGGGGGGGGCCCAGGGGTTGGGGTCGGGGCAGCCAGGACCGGGTGATCCCCTTGCTCTGGGGGTCCCCCCCATTCCCGGTCCCCAAAATCTCGGGTCGGTTTGCAGTGGGTTTCGGGGGGGGGGGAGCGCGGGGGGCCGGGGAGGGGGGTGGTCGTGCAGACAAAGGCGCTGGAGCGGGGAGGAGCAACAGCGGCGTGGCCTGAAAGGCTGGGATACAGGCAGGGATACAGGCAGGGATACAGGCTGGGATACAAACAGGGATACAGACAGGGATACAAACAGGGATACAGGCTGGGATACAGGCAGGGATACAGGCAGGGATACAGGCAGAGATATTGGCCAGGATGCAGGCAGAGATGCAGGTTGGGATTCAGACAGGGAAACAGGCAGGAATTCAACCAGGGATTCAGACAGGAACACTGCCAGGGATGCAGGCAGGGATGCCGGCCAGGATGCTGGAATTCCCAGGATACCGGAGACCATCAATGCTCCCCCCTCTGCTAAATCCCTGTGGACCCCCCCAAATCCCCATGCTCCATGGGCCAGGGATGAGGGGTGGGATCAGGGATTCTCCCGGGGGGGGGTTCAGAGTCATTTGGATGCACAGCCCTGCAAGGCCTCGGGGCCCCCTCCCCACCCTTGTGCCCAGCTTTTCCTGTGCCCCCCCCCTTTCCCAAAATAGGGACAGTGGCCAGGCCTGGAGACACCCCAGCCTGTCCCCCCCCAGCTGAAACTGTCCCCCCCCCCGCTCCAGCTGAGATCCCAGTGGGGGGGACAGCTCCTGGTGGCACCAACCAGCCGCCCTGGCACCCAGCCCCTGCCCCAAAATAGCCACGGGGGGAGCTCGGGGGGGGGCTTCAGAGGGACCTGGCACAGGGGTGCCCCCCACCCCAATGCCCACAGTGCCAGGGGGGCTCACAGGGTGCACTGGGTGGGCAGGACCCTCCAGCCCTGCGGGGGGGGCTGCGGGGGGTCCCCCACGAGTGTGTGTGGGAGCGGACTGGGGGAGGGGGGGGGTCACCCGAAATGTCAGGGGGACATCGCACACCCCGCTCGGGTTACCGGCCCCCCCTCGCTGGGAGCCGCCGCACCCGGGCGTGGTGCCGGGACGGGGGAGGGCACTGGGGGGGGCTACGGGGCAGCCCCATGGACAGGCAGGGTAAGGGGGGGTTTGGGGGTGCAGGGGGGGATTGAGGGGGGGGACAGATGCAGGGGATGTGGGGTAACCCCGAGGTGGGTGGGGGGATGCTGGGGGGACACGGGGTAACCCCGAGTGGGGGGGGGGACACCGGGGGGCCACGACGCTCCTCCGAATGGGCTGAGCCGCCCCCCCGCTCCCCCCACGACCCCCCCACGGGGCGCGGCCGGACACGCGTGGCCGGTGCGACCGGCGCTGGGGAGACGGCGGCCAACCAGAGCATTAAAGGGGCCGGGAGCTCTCGGGCTCCGCTCCGCCGCCTTTGTCCCTCCTCCCGCCCGGCACCGGCGGCACCGGCGGCGGCACCGGCGGCCCCGGCGGCCCCGGCGGCCCCAATGCACCGGCCCCCGCCGCCGCCGAGCCCCGCACCATGCCCGAGCCGGCGGCCGCAGCGCAGGACGGCGACCGGCCCCGGCGGGCCCCGGCCGGGGAGGAGCGAACGGAACCGGCGGCCCCCACCGGCGTCCTGGGTACGGGGGAACCGGGCGGAGAGACCGGGGCGGACTGGGGGGGACAGAGGGGGGGTGGGGGCTGCGGGCGGCGGCGGGAGGGACGCGGGGGGGACGGGGGGGGCGGGGGGGGCAGCTCCCTGCGGCTCGATGCGGATGTCGGCCGGGATGCGGCTCTCCGGGACGGCGGAGGGGGGCCGGTGCTCCCGGCGGGGCTCTGAGCATCCCCCCGGGACGGCTCCGTGTGCCACCCCCGGGGGTCCCGCGCCGGAGCGGGGGGGTCTGCGGTTCTCTGGGGATGGCTGCTGTGCGCGTGTGTCCCCCCGGGACAGCTCCGTGCCCCCCGGGATGGGCTCCACGTGCAGCTCCGTGTCCCCCACGCACCGGTGACCACCCCAGCACCGCGTCCGTGCACCCCCCGTGTCACCCCCCACCCCAGGAAGGTCTTTTTGCTCCCCCACCCACCCCGGACAGGCCGGTGTCCCCCCCCCCGACCAGCTTCGTACCCCCAGGGCAGAGGGGTGGTGCAGGGCGGAGGCTTTGGATTGGGGGTCCCCAAGCCGTCATTGGGGTCCCCCCCCGCGTGGCGCTGGGCCAGGTGACACCCCCTGGTCGGGGGTCCGCGTGGCGGGGTCGGGCTGGGGGAGGGCGGGCAGGGCCTGATGCCCGCTGTGTCACCGAGCGGGACTCCCGCCTGGGGGTGGGTGACCCACTTCGTGCCCCCCCCCGGGACGCGGCCGCTCCCCCGAACGCTCCGTGCCCGGCGGCCGCGGGCTCCGCTCGGCGGCGGGGCCGTGCCCGAACCCGCCACGCTGCAGCTCCGGTGACCTTATCCCGGGAGCCAAGGTGAGCGGCACCGCCGGCGGGCCGGGACACGGGGGGCCGCGGGGACCGGCGGGGACACCCGGGGGGGCACGGTGGGGCGGCGCTGGCCGGGACACCGTGCCCCGTCCCCGCGGAGCCCGCGTGCTGGGGGGGCAGCGGGGCCTGAGGGAGCCGTGGCCGGAGTGGGACGAAGGTGGGTCACCCCCCAAGCCCAGCCTGGGTGGGGGGGCAGGAGAGGCGCTGGGGACCCCTCTTTTCCCATGACCTTGGGCAGGGAAACCCCCCCTGCACCTGCACCCGAGCCCTCGGGGTGGGTGCCCGCCGGGCATCGCCCCGGTTGCCCACGCGTGTGCCGGCGTGGCCGTGCCCAGGGCCGGGCCCCCGCGGTGCCCAGAGCTGCCACCCGTGCCGGGTGCCACCACTCCCGGCGGGACATAAATAATTCAGGGTGGTGAGCTCAGCCCGCCGGCGTCACCCGGGGAGCGCTGCCACGGCCACCGGTGCTCTGTGCCCGCCTGGCACCAGGGGACACAGCACCCCGGGACACAGCACTCCAGTGCTCAGGCTCCTCAGCACCCTGGTACCCTGGTAGCCCAGCACCCCAACACCCTGGTATCTCAGGACCCCGGCACCACAGCACCCCAGCACCCTGGCACACTGGTACCTCAGCAGCCCAGCACCCTGTGCCCACCCAGCACCCCGGCAGCGCAGGGCAGGACACGGCCATGCCCAGGGTGCCAGACCAGTCCCCCTCCGGGGGTGGCAGCCTGGCATGGCAGCCTGGCTCTGTCCCCAACTCCCACCCACAGAGCCGGGACAGGGCGGCCTTTCAGAGCCCGGCAGCTCAGGCGATGAGTTTGGGAGGTCTCAGCCCGGGGGGGCTGGCGGGTCAGGAGGTGCCCGCAGTTGGGGTGCCCGCAGTTGGGGTGCGTTCCCTGGAACAAGCTGCCGGAACAGGTTCGGCATTTCCTGTTTTTCCCGAACCCGGGGACCTTCCCAGCCCTGGGGCAGTTGGAGAGGCCGTGACATCCCCTGGGCAGCGCTGGCTGAGGAGGGGACGCTGAGGCAGGGAGGGGGCTGGCCTGGGAGAAACGGGGTCCTGCGGGACCCCAGCACCGTTGGAAGCCCCATCCTACCATCCCGGGGCAGGATTTTGGGATGTCCCTTGTCCCCATCCGCCCCAGGAGGTGCGATGGGGACACTGGGCTCGGGGGCCACCCCACAGTGGGACAGGGGCCGTGTCCCGGTGCTGGCACCCGCCGGGGACTGTGGGGACCGTCCCCATCCCACCTCCCCGCGGCGGCGCGGGGCCTCCCCGGGTTTCCATGGAGACCAGCTGCTTTTTCGACATCCCCATTTTTCCTGCGGTTTTCCATCTCTCGGAGCCGCGGCCCTGCCGGATCCCGGCCCCGCCGAGGGGCTGCGGGCAGAGGTGAGCGCTTTTGGGGGGGCTGCAGGGGGGCACCCCGGGACGTCCCGCGGCACCGGCACCCCGGGGGTGCCAGGACATGCTGGCGGCTCCTCCCCGGCAGCTGTCGGGGCTGTTTTTGGGCACCCGGGGCTGTTTTGGGCACCCGCAGCCGCCGAAGGAGAAACCTGAGCCCGGGGCAGCGTCACCGGGAGCGGGGCCGTGACCTCCGGCCGCGGCCGCGCCGGGGACAGCCGGGGACAAGCCGGGGGTCCCCGCCCCCGCCCCGTGACTCCTCGGGGATTGGGATCTGGTTCCCAGGGATGTGCGTGTGGGGGGATACCCCACAGGATCCCGCGGCTGCTCATCCCTTCCCTCCCCCCGGCAGATAAACTCTTCGGGAAGCGGCTGCTCCAGGCCGGGCGTTACATCATGTCCCACAAGGCCTGGATGAAGACGGTGCCCACGGAGAACTGCGACGTGCTCATGACCTTCCCGGGTAGGGACGTGCCCGGGGAACCCGGGATACCTGGAGCACCCGGGGGGGGCAGCAGGGGTGGGGGGTGTGGGATGTGGGGAGGGATGGGGACAGGGAACACGGGGAGGGCTGTGGGATGTGGGGAGGGACGGGGAAGCTGGGCAGGGGTGAGAATGTGGGGACGGATGAGGGACATGGAGAGGGATGGGAGCGTGGGGAGGGATGAGGGACATGGAGAGGGATGGGAGCGTGGGGAGGGATGAGGGACATGGAGAGGGATGGGAGCGTGGGGAGGGATGTGGGATGTGGAGATGGACGGGGGATGTGGAGAGCAAAGGGGTTGTTGGGGAGACACAGGGAATGATGGGGGGATGAGCAGGAATGGGGAGCAGGATGGGGACATGGGGGGGGGGTGGGGGATGTGGGAAAGGATGGAAATCAGGATGGGGACTGGGATGGGAATGTGGGAAGTGATGGGGGCCGTGGGGAGAGACGGGGGATGTGGGAAGCCATTGAGGACTTACGGAGTGATGGGAGACCGGGATGAGGGAGGGACATGGGGAGGGACGGGGGGTATCTGGAGGGGCGGGGATTGGGATGGGGCCCAGGATGGGGCCCTGGGGAGGGCTGTGGGCCATGGCCCGTGCTGACAGTCCCCACACAGACACCACGGACGACCACACTCTGCTGTGGCTGCTGAACCACATCCGCCTGGGCATCCCCGAGCTCATCGTGCAGGTCCGGCACCACAAGCACACGCGGGTCTACGCCTTCTTCGTCACCGCCACCTACGAGAGGTGGGCTCCCCGTGCCCCCCTGGCCCCTCAGCCGTGTCCCAGATGTGTCCCCTTGGTCATGTCCCATCCGTGTCCCAGCCATGTCCTAGCCATGGCCCAGCTATGTCCCAGCCATGTCCCCCCAGCCGTGTCCCTCTGGCCCTGTCCCATCCATGTCCCCTCAGCCATGTCCCATCTATGTCCCAGCCAAGTCCCCCCAGCCGTGTCCCCCCTGGCACGTCCCCCCAGCCGCGTCACTCTGGCTGTGTCCCATCCGTGTCCCCCTGGACATGTCCCATCCGTCTCCCATCCGTGTCCCAGCCATGTCCCAGCCATGTCCCCCCATCCCCGGCCCCTCAGCTACGTCCCCCCAGCAATGCCCCCTGGGTCATGTCCCAGCCATGTCCCCAGTCATGTCCCAGTCGTGTCCCAGCTGTGTCCCAGCCATGTCCCAGCCATGTCCCAGCCATGTCCCAGCCATGTCCCAGTCATGTCCCAGCCATGTCCCAGCCGTGTCCCAGCCGTGTCCCAGTCATGTCCCAGTCATGTCCCAGCCATGTCCCAGCCGTGTCCCAGCCATGTCCCAGCCATGTCCCAGCCATGTCCCAGCCGTGTCCCAGCCGTGTCCCTGTCCCCAGTCATGTCCCAGCCGTGTCCCAGCCGTGTCCCTGTCCCCAGTCATGTCCCAGCCGTGTCCCAGCCGTGTCCCTGTCCCCAGTTTGCTGCGCGGGGCGGACGAGATCGGGCTGCGGAAGCCGGTGAAGGCGGAGTTTGGGGGCGGGATGAGGAGCTTCTCGTGCGAGGAGGATTACATCTACGAGAACATCGAGAACGAGCTCTACTTCTTCACCTCTCAGGTGGGACACGTGGGCACGGGGCGGGATACGAGGGGTGCCGGGCAGGGATATGGGAATGCAGGGATGTGGGGATACAGGGATTCTTGGCAGGGGTACAGGGATGTGGGGCGAGGAGGTGGGGATACAGGGGTCTGGGGATGTTGAGCAGGGATGCAGGGGTGCTGGGCAAGGATACAGGGGTGCAGGGATACAGGGGTGTGGGGATACGGGGCAGGGATGCAGGGATTTGGGGATGTAGGAATGCAGGGATATGGGGATGCAGGGACATGGGGCAGGGAAGGCAGGTCCTCTCCCCCTCCCCAGGGAATTAGGGAGCCCCATCCCAGCTGCAGACTGACCCAGCCATCCCCTGAGCTGGGGACAAGGCGGGACGGGGAGGGGCCAGGACAGGGACAGGGATCGGGACCATCCCCGGGATCTGAAGCCTCCGTGGTGCCGCAGGAACGGCAAAACATCATCAGGTACTGGCTGGAGAACCTGCGGGCCAAGCAGGGAGAGGCCCTGCACAACATCCACTTCCTCGAGGGACAGCCCATCAGTGAGTACGGCACGGCAGGGCCCCACAGGGCACCTCCATGGCACTGCATGGCACTTCTATGGCACCAGAGGGCACTTCCATGGCACTTCCATGGCATTTCCATGGCACTTCCATGGCACTTCTGTGGCACTTCCATGGCACTGCGTGGCACCAGAACGGCACAGCAGTCTCCCCCCACTGCCACGCTCCCCCTGCCCACGGGGCTGTGCCATGGAGGCCCCAGTGGCCACCAGCCCACCAAGGATCCTCCCGTGTCCCCCTCCCCGTGCCCGTGTGCCAGCAGGGCGGGGGGCACACGGTGGGCACAGAGCCCTGACCTGCCACGGTCACCCCATTGTCCCTGCCCCAACCCCAACGCCTCCAGGGCTGTGTGGGGTCCCAGGGGGGGCCGGGGGGGTGGACTGGCAGTGTCCCTGCTGCCCCTGACGCCGTGTCCCCGGCGCAGTCCCGGAGCTGGCGGCCCGGGGGGTCATCCAGCAGGTTTTCCCGCTGCACGAGCAGAGGATCCTCAAGCGGCTGATGAAGTCCTGGGTGCAGGCGGTGTGCGAGGCCCAGCCCCTCGGTGAGACATCGGGGGGGGTCACAAAAGAGGGGTCTGGGAGTCCCAGCCCCGCTCACACCCCCCTCGTGTGTCCCCCTCCCCTCCCCAGATGACATCTGTGACTATTTTGGGGTGAAAATCGCCATGTACTTCGCCTGGCTGGGCTTCTACACCTCGGCCATGGTGTATCCCGCCGTCTTCGGCTCCATCCTCTACAGCTTCACCGAGAGCGACCAGGTGAGGGGGGCAGGAGATGGGGTCGGTTCCTGGGGGGGGTCACGGCAGGGGTTTCACCCTTCCTCGGGGGTTTTGACCCCCTCCCTGTGGGTTTCCATCTCTCCATGTGGGTTTCCATCCCTCCCTGTGGGTTTCCATCCCTCCCTGTGGGTTTCCATCCCTCCTTGTGGGTTTCCATCCCTCCCTGTGGGTTTCCATTCCTCCTTGTGGGTTTCCATCCCTCCCTGTGGGTTTCCATCCCTCCTCACTCCAGATTTTCCCCACAGTCCTTCAGTCCTGGTGTTGCTGCTGAGCTGGGGGGGCTGCCGAGCCCAGGGGGGTGGGGTGGGCAGGGGGAGCACCCTGAGGTTCCCCAGGGCTGGGCTGGGGGGGATACCGGGGACGAGAGGGGACCAACCCCGGTGCAGTTGGTTCCCTCCATCCCTCAGACCAGCCAGGACATCTCCTGCGTGGTCTTTGCCATCTTCAACGTCATCTGGGCCACCCTGTTCCTGGAGGAGTGGAAGCGCCGGGGGGCCGAGTTCGCCTACAAGTGGGGGACCCTGGACACCCCCCCCGAGTCCATCGAGGAGCCCCGGCCCCAGTTCAGGGTGAGGGGAGGGGGAGCCCCTTCCCTGGGGGGTTCCCCAGGGTTCCCACCAGCACTGGGGTCCCAGAGGGAAGGGGGGGTCACAGCTCGTTGTGCCCCCCCCCCCAATTAGGGCATTAAGAGGATCAGCCCCGTGACCAGCGCTGAGGAGTTTTATTACCCCCCCTGGAAGCGGCTGCTCTTCCAGTGCCTGGTCAGCCTGCCCGTCTGCCTCGCCTGCCTCACCCTCGTCTTCCTCCTCATGCTCGGCTGCTTCCAGCTCCAGGTGGGTCCTTGTCCCGCCCCTGCCGGGCTGCCCCTGCTCCGTGGTGACCCTGTCCCTGTCCTCGCTGTGTCCCTGCTCCTAAACTCGACCCTGATCCTGCCCCTGTCCCCACCCCTGACCCTGACCATGACCCTGGTTGTGTCCCTGTCCCTCAACCCCACCTTGTTCCTGTCCTTGATCCTGACTCTGTCCTTGTCTCCCTCCCTGTCTCCATCCCTGACCCTAATCCTGACTCTGATCCTGTCCCTGCCTCCCACCTTGTCCCCCTCCCCATCCCTTTCCTTGCCCCTGTCCCTGTCCCTGCCCCTGTCCCCATCCCTTTCCTTGCCCCTTATCCTGTTCCTGCCCCCATCCCATCCCTGCCCCTGTCCCACCCCTGCCCCTGTCCCTGTCCCATCCCTGCCCCTGTCCCTGTCCCATCCCTGACCCTGTCCCATCCCTGTCCCTGTCCCATCCCTTTCCTTGCCCCTGTCCCTGTCCCTGCCCCTGTCCCCATCCCTTTCCTTGCCCCTTATCCTGTTCCTGCCCCCATCCCATCCCTGCCCCTGTCCCACCCCTGCCCCTGTCCCTGTCCCATCCCTGCCCCTGTCCCTGTCCCATCCCTGACCCTGTCCCATCCCTGTCCCTGTCCCATCCCTGCCCCTGTCCCATCCCTGCCCCTGCCCCCGACCCCACAGGAGTTCGTGCTGAGCATCCAGGAGCTGCCCCGGATCATCCGTTTCCTGCCCAAGATCATCCTGGCCGTCATTGTCACCGCCTGTGACGAGCTGTACAAGAAGGTGGCCTACTGGCTCAATGACATGGGTGCGTGGGGGGGCCCGGGGGGGGGGCTCCAGGCAGGGCTGGGAGCTGGGACCACCCCCCTGAGCCCCCCCTGAACCTCCCCCTTTGTGCTTTGCAGAGAACTACCGGCTGCAGAGCGCCTACGAGAAACACCTCATCATCAAAATCGTCCTGGTGAGGGGGGCACGGGGGGGCACGGGGGGACTGGAGGGGTCCCAGCAGCCCTTGGTGGGGGACAGAGGGGACTGGGGGGACTGGAGGGGTCCCAGTGGCTCCGTGGGGTGACAGAGGGAATGGGAGGGTCCCCGAGGGGGACAGAGGGGTCCCAGCAGCCCCAGAGGGGCCTGTAAGGGTCCTGTGGGGGACAGGGGTGACTGGAGGGGTCCCGATGGTGCTGGGGGGTACAGAGGGGTCTGGAGGGGACCCACAAACCTCGGGGGGGAAGGACAGAGGGGGCTGGAAGGGTTCTGGTGGCACTGGGGACACAGAGGGGACCGAGGGGTGCCGGTGCCCCCCTACACACACTCACCCCCCTCCCTTCTCCCGCAGTTTCAGTTTGTAAATTCCTACCTGAGTCTTTTCTACATCGGTTTCTACCTCAAAGACATGGAACGGCTGAAGGAGGTGAGGGGCCGTGCCCGGGGCCGGCCCGAGCCCCCCCCGGCACCGCCCGGACGGACAGACGGATGTCCTCGACCCCGCCCCCCGCCACTGTCCCCCCGTGCCCTCCCGGGGTGTCCCCCCCGTGCTCCCACCACGGTCCCTGCGGCTGCTCCGCCCCCCGGGGGTCCCCGGTCCCGCTCACGGCGTCTCTCTGTCTGTGTCTGTCTGTTCTTCTGTCCCTTCCGCAGCTCCTGCTCATCTTCTCTCTCTCCCAAAGCCTCGTGCGGCAGCTCAAAGAGGCTCTTCTCCCCTTCATCCTCCTCCACCTCCACCTCTCTCTCATCTTCCTTAAGGGCCTCCTGAGCTTTTGCTGGAGACTGGGAGTATCCAAAGTAGGAGCGGGGAGGGAGGGGCGGGGCATCCCCCTTGCATCCCACCCCGGGACCCCCCCCCGGCCCCGGGAGGGACACCGGTGTCCCCATCCCCGGCCGTGCCGCAGCTGGCGGTGGCACTGCTGAGGTCCCACCCCATCCGTTGTCACCGACGGGGCGGTCACAGGAGAGGGGACACCGGGTTTTGGGTGTCCTGCTCTGGCTGCACGGCCGCGGGGAGGAGCAGGGACCCCCCCCCGGGATGAGCAGGGACACCGCGGGGACAACAGGGAGGAGCAGGGACCCCACAGGAGGAGTGGGGACCCCGCGGGGAGGACAGGGAGGAGCAGAGACCCCGTGGGGACAAGAGGGAGGAGCAGGCACCCCACAGGAGGAGCGGGGACGCCGAGGGGACGACAGGGAAGAGGAGGGACCGCAGAGGAGCGGGGACCCTGCAGGGACGGGGAGGACAGGCAGGAGCAGGGACCCCGCGGGGAGGGGCAGGCGACGGGGATGCCGCCCCCCCCCTCCTCCTCCTGCCCCGGGTGACAGCCGCGTCCCCAACAGATGCTGGCCACGCTGCTCATCACGCGGCAGTTCCTGCAGAACGTGCGGGAGGTGTCCCAGCCCCACCTGTACCAGCGGCTGCGCCGCGGGGACCTGAACCTGCGCAGCCTGCGGCAGCTCGCCCACAGCCTGCTCTGCCTGCTCGCCCCCCGCCGCCACCCCCCGCGCCCCCCGGAGGGGCCCCGCGGCGAGAAGAAGTGTCTGAACGGCGGCTGCGGGGTCCCGGAGGAGGAGGAGGAGGAGGAGGAGCGGCGGGAGTCGGACTCGGAGGAGGAGAGCGCGCTGGACTGCGGGCTGAAGCTGAAGAAGGTGAGCTTCGTGGAGCGGGCGGAGCGGCGCGGGGAGCCCGGCGGCGCCGAGGACGAGCCTTTCCTCGAGGAGGGCAGTCCCACCATGGTGGAGAAGGGCATGGACCCCGCCGCCGTCTTCGAGCTCTGCGAGGACGACGACGAGGCCGAAGGGCCCCCGGGGAGCCCGGCGAGGGCGGCGGAGCCGGCGGTGGTGCCGCGGGCCGGCCGGAGGAGGCGGGAGGAGGAGGACGGGGAGGAGGAAGGGCGGAGGCGCAACCGGGCGTCGTGGATCGACCCGCCCGAGGAGGATTACTCCACGCAGCTGACGCAGGCGGAGGTGGAGAGCTGCATGAAGAAGTACGAGGTGAGCCCCCAGGGGGAGCCCCAAATCCCCTCTGCCCGGGCAGGGAAGGACCTGAGGGGGCAACTGCCCATGGGCCAAGGTGTGCCCAGGTGGGCAGGAGGACAAGGGCACCTGGCTTGGGTCAAAATCAGTGTGGCCACAGGACCAGGGCACTCAAGGCCTCACCTTGAGTCCTGGGGTCAGTTTTGAGCCCCTTCATGACAAGAGAGACACTGAGGGGCTGGAGAGTGTCCAGGGAAGGGAACAGAGCTGGGGAAGGGGCTGGAGAGTCAATTGTATGAGGAGCAGCTGAGGGAGCTGGGGGGGCTCAGCCTGGAGAAAAGGAGGCTCAGGGGGGACCTTCTCACTCTGTCCAACTCCCTGACTCCCGGGGAGCAGGGGGGAGTCGGGCTCTGTTCCCAGGGAACAAGGGACATGATGAGAGGGAATGGCCTCAAGCTGTGCCAGGGGAGGGTCAGGTTGGATTCGGGGAAATATTCCTTCCTGGAAAGGGTGCTCAGGCATTGGCAGGGGCTGCCCAGGGAGGTTTGGAGTCCCCACCCCTGGAGGTGTCCGAGGAAGGCCTGGCCGTGGCCCTCAGTGCTCTGGGCTGGGTGACAAGCTGGGGATGGAGCACAGGGGGGACTCGATGACCTTGGAGCTCTTGTCCCCAGGACACCTTCCAGGACTACCAGGAGATGTTCATCCAGTTCGGGTACGTGGTGCTGTTCTCCTCGGCCTTCCCCCTGGCCGCCATGTGTGCCCTGGTCAACAACGTCATCGAGATCCGCAGCGACGCCTTCAAGCTCTGCACGGGGCTGCAGAGACCCTTCGGCCAGCGCGTCGAGAGCATCGGCCAGTGGCAGGTGGGCTGAGGGGCTGGGGGGCTCTGAGGGGCTCCGGGGGGGCTCCGAGGGGGGCTCAGCCCCCGGGGGCTCACCCTGGGCACCGCCGCTCTTGCAGAAGGTGATGGAGGCCATGGGCGTCCTGGCCATCGTGGTCAACTGTTACCTGATCGCCCAGTGTGGGCAGCTCCAGAGGCTCTTCCCGTGGCTCAGCCCCGAGGGAGCCATCATCTCCGTGGTGGTGCTGGAGGTACGGAATTGGCGCCGGGATTCACGGCCGGGGGTTTGTGTAGGGTCTCCCCGGGCGGTGCCAGGGTGTGGTCATGGCCCGGGGATCCCACAGATCTTCCCTTCCCTTCCTCTCTACTCGCATATGTGGACATGAACATCCCTGGACATGAACATCCCTGGACATGAACATCCCTGGGCATGTTCATCCCACACAGGCCCATCCCGCCTGTGCCATGCACATGCCTGGATAGTCACATCCCTGGGCAGGCAAATCCCTGGAAACCCACCCCCCCGACGTGTCCATCCCACACGTGCACATCCCTGGACATGTTCCCTGCAGGCAGCTCGTGCTGCCAAACAAGGGGTGGGGTCTGGAATCCCCCCCTGCTGTTATTGTAGGGTCTCCCCGTTCCCCACGGGATTTTGGAGGGGGTGGCAGTGCCAGGGGAGCTCAGCCAGATCCGTGTGCCCCCACAGCACTTCGCCCTGTTCCTGAAGTACATCATCCAGGTGGCCATTCCCGACATTCCCGCCTGGGTGGCCGAGGAGATGGCCAAGCTGGAATACCAGCGGCGCGAGGCCTTCAAGGTGGGTGGGGCTGGGATGGGACCCTGCTCGGGGCTGGGCACGGGGCTGGGACCCCTGAACCCAGGGCCAGGGGGGTCCCCAAGGTGTCCCTGAGGCCACTGGGCTCTGCGAGGTGTCACCAGGTCCGGGGGGACCCCTGAGGTGTCCCCGGACCTGGTGGGACCCCTGAGGTGTCCCCAGACCTGGTGGGACCCCTGAGGTGTCCCCGGACCTGGTGGGACCCCTGAGGTGTCCCTGGACCTGGTGGGACCCCTGAGGTGTCCCTGGACCTCGTGGACTCCCCAGGGTGTTTCCAGGGCCAGTGGGTTCCCCGAGGTGTTTCCAGGGATGGGTGGGCTGCTCCCCAGGGTGTCCCTGGACCTTGTGGGTTCCCGGGGTGTCCCCGGACCTGGTGGGCTCCCCGAGGCACTCCTGGGGTGGGAGGGCTCCCCGGCGTGTCCCGGTGGCCGCCCCGGGGCTGACGCGCTCCCGTCGGCAGAAGCACGAGCGGCAGGCGCAGCACCACTTCCAGCAGCAGCAGCGGCGCAAGCGGGAGGAGGAGGAGCGGCAGCGCCACGCCGAGTACCAGGCGCGGAAGGAGCGCGAATCCAGCCGGGATGAGGCCAAGCCCGAGGCCGCCGGGCAGGACCCGGCCCACGAGAAGAGCCAGAGCAAAGGGAAGGGCTCCGGGGGCTCCTCGCACGGCTCCGACAAGCCCAAGCGCCCCAGCTCCCTCCTGGCCACCAACAACGTGATGAAGCTGAAGCAGATCATCCCCCTGCAGGGCAAGTTCCTGTCGGGGGGGGCCGGCGCCGGCGGCACGGCCACCGCCAGGTCCCCGCAGTCGCCCACGGGCAGCGAGAACAAGCTGCCCGGATTCCTCAGCTTCAAGTTCCTCAAATCCCCGGAGACTAAGCGGGACGCGGGCACCGAGAAGGTCCAGTCCCCCACCAAGCCATTCAACCCCGGCAAGCTCTTCAACTTCGGCAAGTCCGAAGGGGCCGCGGGCAACGGCGGCACGGCCGGGGCATCGCCCCAGCCCCGGCCCGGCCCCTCGGCGGACCCCGAGCGCTCGGTGCCCAGCAAGTCCCACCTCAACGGGGCTGCGGAGGAGGGGGGCCGGGAGGAGCCGGAGAGCCGGGCGGAGGAGGAGAGCGGCGGTTATAGGCTCTAACCGGGGCTTTCGGGGGGCCGGGAGCGCGGGGGGCCGCCCGCTCGCTCCTCCGGGCAGCCGTGGCCATCGGCAGCCTCTCGCCCCCCCTGGCCGCCCCCCCGCTCGGGGCCGGGCCGAGCCCACCGGCCGCCAGCCCCTCGCTCTGCCCCGGCCCCCTCTGCTGCGTCCCCTCGTGCCCCCCCGGCCCCTCCGCCGGGACCCGCTGCCACCCCGGACCCCGCACCGAGGATTCCTGAGCGGCGGCGTGGATGGAGCGTCCCGGCGGCTTTCCGTGCCCGCGGGTGGGAGTTATCCCGGTGTGGCTCCGCGCCGCTCCCGGACCCTCCGGGGCCGCCCGCCGGGAGGGTCGGGATTCCCGGGATCGGCGGCCAGAGGAGCCCGATTCAGCCGTGCCTACACCCCCTGCCCTCCGGCCATGGCACCGTGCCCTGCTCCGTCCCGCTCCCGCCGCCTCCGCCCCGGATCCTTCCCAGCACCGGGACCTTTTCCTGCCGCGGGATGGAGCGGGACGAGCAGCAGCCACCCGGCCCCCCCCGCACGGGCAGCGTTTCTTGCACTAAAACCCAACCAAACCCCGACGCCGGTGACTTTCTCCTCCTTCAGCCGGGGGTTGGCACCGGCCGCGACCCCCGGGACTGCAACGTGAGCCGGGACGGGCCCTTCCCATCTCCAGTTTCGTATTCCCTGGAATTATTTCGCAATAAGGCGCTCGCACACGCGGAGGTCGCGCCGGAGCCCGGGAGAAGGAAGGGGCTGGGACGGGGAGGGGGGTGGGAGCCGCTTCGCCGCCGCCGGGGGAAGGTTTTGCGGGATTTGCGTCGCCGGGTCTGGACTTGGAGCTTCCCGAGCCTTGTCCGTGCTGGGAGGGGGGGTCTCAGCTCCCCCTTCCTGCTTTGCTGCGGCTCTGCTTCGCTTTCGGGGCCGGGCCGGGGTGGTGGCACCTCGCAGGTGACCCGGGTGGGGACACCCAGCCCTGTCACTCCCCCCCGGCCCTCGCCACCAGCTCCGCTCCGCCCGCAGCCGCCCACATTCCCAAAGGGAGCCGGGGAAAGGGGAGGGGGCTGCCGGGGGTCACCCCTTCACTGTGCCTGGCCCAGGCGGGGGGGCTGAGCCCCCCTTCTCCCTCCACCACCCCCCCCAAAAAAAAAAAATCCCCCAGGCCTGGGCTGCAGAAAACGTCAGGTTGGATTTTCCCCGCCGCCTCTTTCCAGAATTCATGGAAATTTCAGTTTTGGGGGGTCTAAAGAAGCCATTTTATACAGCAATAAGGGCAGGAGAGGGCCGAGGCTCCGCCTGCTGCTCCGCTGCCGAGGGAACAGCGCAGGGAGATGTTTTCCAGGGAAAAGGGCTCCCCCCTGGGAGCTGGGGACACCCCGGAGCTTTGCTGTGCCTGGAATGGGGGGCCAGGAGGGCTCCGGGCCCTCCTCACCCTCCCTCACGTGGGGGACGCAGGGAGAGGAGGAGGAGGGAGATTCTGGGGCGAAGCCCGGGAAAAGGGAGCACTGGGAGCACTGGGAGCACTGGGGCCCAAAGCTCCCCGAGAGCAGGGAGGGGTCGGGCCGCTCTCCCTCCCTCCCTCCCTCCCTCCCTCCATTCCATCGAGTTTTCTTGCTCTGCCGCTCCCAAAAAACACCCGCTGGGCTTCAAGGGAATGACACCGATCCCGTTTCCCTCCCGAGGGAACCCATCCCGGCTCCGTCCCTCCCTCCCGGAGGGGAGGGCAGGGCCCTGCCGCAGCCCGGACCCCCCGCCCGGGGCACTCGGAACCATTTCCCTCTCCAAAGTATCTCCCTGGCTGGAATGTGGCTCCGGGGGCAGCGGCTGTGCAGGGGAGGGAAGGATTGGGACGGTTGGTTGGTCTTTTTTTGTTTTGTTTCGTTCCGTTCTGTTTTCCTTTGCGTTGGATTTCTGTAGGAATTCAAAGGAAAGGAAGGGGGTTATTTATTTCTTTTTAATTTATTTTGTCATATTTTTGTAAAACCTGCAGAAATGCAATAAAAATCTATTTCAACAAGCCCGAGGCGTTGGGGTGTCGTTATAATTACCATCAGCACGTTATTATATCGTTATTGTTGTAATTAGTGTGGCTTGCACGGTGCTCAGGGGATGAGGATCCCTGGAAAAGGCAGGTGGGGACACCACGGACACCCTTCAGGATAAAGCTCCAAGGACAAGCCCCAACCACGCCGGGATCGAGCAGAGGAAGAATAAAGCAAGTTCTGATGCTCTAAATTCTGCAAATTTATTATACACAGTATCAAACATGGAAGAGTTTAAAAAGAAACACCAAAAAAAAAAAAAAAAAAAGAAAAAAGAAAAAAGAAAAAATTCCAATGGCCACGACAATTCCAACCCGGCTGACGGGGGATTCACGGGCACCCCCCCCAGGGAAAACCCACCTTTTCCAGCCCCACGAGACGAGGTTTGTGCTAAAAACAGAGGAGTGAAGTCGCCAAGAGAGGGTGGAAGGAAGAGACTCCGGATCTTGATGCTGCAAACGGAAAAATCCGGAAAAATCTGGCACTTGGGGATGGTGGAGCCTCCTGGAGCTGCTCCTGGACACCCACCCGGGACGTGGGGGACTGGAAACACCCAAGGAAGGTGGTTAATTAAACTGAGCTGATTAATGGATGTGTCTGGGAATGGGCAGGAGCCCAGCCCAGCCCAGGGGTGACTCAGCCCAGCCCCTTCCAGGGGGATCAGTCACCCCAAATCCATCAGGAGCAGCTCCTCCTGCTCCCCCCCAGCCCCTTCCAGGGGGATCAGTCACCCCAAATCCATCGGGAGCAGCTCCTCCTGCTCCCCCCCAGCCCCTTCCCACCCTCCTGGACTCGGCCTTGACCAAAGCAGGGAAGAGCCTTTGCCCCCCCAGACCACCCCAGACCTCCAAACCCCACCAGCCCTGGGCGTGTCTGGAGCAGAATCCCGGGATCTGGTGCTGCAGGATGCAGGAGATCCCGGGATGAGCCGTTCAGGGATGGGGGGGGAGTGAAAGGTGCCAAATAAAGTTTCCTTCAGCCAGGAAAACGAGGAAATGGGAAGGCCCAAGAGCACAGATCCCCATCCTCGTGCTGCAGGAGGCAGCTCCCAGCGGGATTCACATCCCTGCGGGGCTGGAGAGAGCAGGGGTCCCATCCCGAGGGGAAGGAGAACAGGAGCATGGGGAAAAGCTGTGGAAAAGCTGTGGAAAAGCTGTGGGAAACCTCGTGCAGCCCCTCTCCCACGTGGAAACACCCCTGCTCTGACACAGGGCCGGGATTTCCAGCCTCACCAGCCGAACACTCCCGTCCCTTCAGCAGAACTGGGAATTCTGCAGAGGTTAAAAGCCACCTCTGGGAGCGTCGGGGCCACCAAGAGGACCTTTGTCAATCCCTAAACCCACCCAATTCCTCCTCATACTGGAGAAACAGGGGGTTGCTGGGAACAGGGAGATCAGTTCCTACTATCTGGGGACACACCCGGAAAGTTCTGCCTTTGAAAGGGGATCGTGGAGACTCTGGGAGGTTGGATTTCATCCCCTCGCTCCAAGATGTTCCTCCCTGAGCCCAGGTTTGGTCTTTCCAACATTCCAATGTTTTTTCCCTGATGGGCTTCACCAGAGCCACGATCCAACCCCCTCTCCTGGCAGCTGCTCCCAAATAAACACAACCCTCTCCTCCTTAAGGGAAAGGATTCCCCCGTTCTTATACATCCAAAAAAATACAATATATAGGACAAAACCTGGGAGGGACCAGCTGGAATCCCTCTGGACACGCTGTCCCACAATCCCTTGGCTGCTGGGATGTCGTTAATGCAGGAAAATAAATTAGTTTTATTAGTAAAAAAAAAAAAAAGACTGGAAATATAAGTGGGGACAGAGCTGCAGGGTTGGGAAAAAAATCCCAAGGCTCCTTAGTCTTTGCCTTAAGGCCAGTGTCAAACTCCCCAGAAAATAAAGCTTTGAAGTCAAACCTGTCCCAGTTATCCAGGAAAAAAATCAGACTAATATTTCAAAATTTGCCTCCCAGTGAGTCAGGGAATGATGGAATACCCTGAGCTGGAAGGGACCCCCCTGCGTGGGCACATCCCGGTGTTTTGGGGTTGGGAAGGACCCCGGGAGGTCCCTCAGGAAAAGCTCCCAAGGACACCAGGAGGAGACACCGACAAACCAAACCCAGCCAAGGGTCAGCCACCAACTCCAACGGCACGTCCTGGCCCCAGCTCCCTGTGGATCCACCTGAAATCCATCCTTCCCCTCCACATTCCCCATCCCTGACTCTTCCACGGGGACCTTCCCTTGCTGCTCCTCCCCCAGGAACCAGCAGGGCCCAGACGGGACCAAGAACCGAGTCAAGGAGTCACCCGACATCCCGGCGGCAGGAAAAGGCATTTCCCAACTTTTTAATGTTCTAAATGCCCCCAAAACACATCCAGTGGCTCCCACGGGGCGGGAGGAGCTGCTCCTGCACGGACTCACCCTCCCTCCACGCGCCGAGTTCTGAGAAGAGACGCACAATCCAACCAAAATACCCCAAAATTCCCCACCTCGGACAAGTAGCTCGAGTTTTCATTAAAAAAGCCAGATTTTAGTAAACAATTGGTAACAGAAACAATAAAAATCCCACTGTGCAGACATAGAAAACCCCCGGAGGGTCACGAGATCCCGGGAACAGGAGGAGAAGTCGGAGGAGCCGGGAATTGTACAAACGAGGTGGGCAAAAATCCCAGGTTTGGTGGGTTTTTTTAAGGGTTTTTCGTTGTTTCAATGCACTAAGGCACCAGGAAGTCACAGTTAGGCAAAGATCTTCCACGGAACATTCCAAGCCGAGACACTCACCATGGGAATACAGGATCAGAGGGCAGGGGGGGAGAGGGCAGCGCTGGGGGGCCAGGAAAAAAACCTGGAATGAGCTGGAGGAGGAGGAAGGGAGCGAGTGCTGGGTGCAGAGAGGGTGGAGGAGGACAGGCTGTGGGGATCCCAAATCCATGGATGGGAGGAGGACAGGCTGTGGGGATCCCAAATCCATGGATGGGAGGAGGACAGGCTGCAGGGATCCCAAATCCATGGATGGAATGAGGACAGATTGCAGGGATCCCAAATCCATGGATGGAATGAGGACAGATTGCAGGGATCCCAAATCATAGATGGGATAAGGACAGGCTGTGGGGATCCCAAATCATAGATGGAATGAGGACAGGCTGCAGGGATCCCAAATCCATGGATGGGATAAGGACAGGCTGCAGGGATCCCAAACGCAGGGATAGGATGAGGACAGACTGGGAATCACAAATCCATAAAATCCATGGCAAGGATGAGGACAGACTGCAGGGATCCCAAATTCTGGGATGGGATGAGGACAGACTGGGAATCACAAATTCATGGAATCCATGGCTGGGATGAGGACAGACCAGGGGGATCCCAAATCCAGGGATGGGATGAGAACCACAAATTCATGAAAGGGTTGAGGACAGACTGCGGGGATCCCAAATCCATGGCTGGGAGGAGGACAGACTGCAGGGATCCCAAATCCATGGATAGGAGGAGGACAGACTGCAGGGATCCCAAATCCATGGCTGGGAGGAGGACAGACTGCAGGGATCCCAAATCCATGGCTGGGAGGAGGACAGACTGCAGGGATCCCAAATCCATGGCTGGGAGGAGGACAGACTGCAGGGATCCCAAATCCATGGATAGGAGGAGGACAGACTGCAGGGATCCCAAATCCATGGCTGGGAGGAGGACAGACTGCAGGGATCCCAAACCCCTCCTGTTCGTGCACCAGAAACCCCAAACCACTCTGGCCCTGGGGTCATTCGTTCCCTGTTTCTCCATCGCTCCCAAACCACCTGGAAAAGGCAACTTTCACCTGCTCAAACCACCTGCGACATTCCCGAGGCTCCCAGCCCGCTTCTCAAGGACACAGAGGGGACACAACGGGGGTTTAGGCCAGGAAGGAACTGCCAACTCTTTAATGGTAGGTGGCGGGGCCGCCGGCGCAGCCCGGATACAGCGCGGAACAGCCCCGGCCCTGCGCACGCTCCGGCTCCAGCCGCCTCCTCCTGCCCTCCCTCGGGGCCTTGGAGCTCCTCCAAGGACTCCTCACATCCGGCTCTGGATCATCCCGGCGTCTCACGGCGCGTCCGGAGGGCGGGAGCTCCGGCAGGAATCCTCTTCCCCCCGCGGAGACCCCGGGAATGGCCCTCTGGATCTCCCCTCTGGATCTTCGGCCCGGCGCGTCCCAGGTGGCTCCAGGGGGTGGGAAGGGGCCGCCACAGCAGGAAGGGGACGTTTTCTGAGGCAGGTACGAGGTGCTAAACTACTCCGTGTCCAACTCATTCACAAAGCCGGTGCCTAAAGGGACGTTTAAAATTCCAGCATCCTGCTCTTCCTAAGGTTCTGCTTCCGACTCGCCGCCGGGGCCGGCGTCCCTGCGCCCCCGGAGGGGACGTGTGGCACCCCTGGGACGGGCAGGGGTGGGGGGGGACAGGGCCAGCAGGAACCCTCAAAGCCCCTCGGAGCCAGGCTCTCTCCAGGATCTCTGGGAAAACATCCGTGTGGTTCCCTGGTGTCGGGGGTTTGTCGACGAGGAAAAACACAGCTACGAACGCCACAACTTCAGCGACCACGGCGGGGATCAGCTCCTCGGGGCAAAGCACACAAGACATCGGGACTAAGCTACTCCTTTCCTGTCCCCTCCCGGTGACGATGCTCCTTTCCACGAGTCCTGGACCTCTGGATCCACCCGGATGAGTGACAGGTCTCCGTTTCGGCTCCTCTCGGAGCCAGGGAAGGGTTACAGGCGACAGGCACTGAACTGTCACAGTCCGAAGGGGTCGGTGGTCAGCACAGACCATGGAAGCTCACGTTTGATCCACTCCAAGTCCTGCATTCCCGGCAGGAAAAGCCGCTGTACCACTCTCCAGAGCCGAGGGACGAGGCAGGGAAGCAGCCGGAGGTGCCGAGGTGCTCCCGGAGCAGATCCAGCGGTGCCAACCCCCCTCCATCCCCTCGGCCTCTGCCGGGACACGTGGCCGGAGCGGGATGGGAGGATCCTTTTATTCCAGCCCAGGAGAAATCACAGGGATCAGGCCATTCCAGCCCGGGAGAAGGTCGGAATTTGAGAGCCACAAAAGCAACACACCTTCCACTGCAACTCCTGCAGCGCCACGGGAGGAGGCTCGTGGGCCAGCCCCGGAGACACGGCCGGGATGGAGCTGCCAAGGAATCTGCTCCCATCAACACCCCCCTCAGCGGCACCCGGGGCTGGTTTGGAATATTTGAGGGGAAAACTAAAAAAAATCGGCCCCACTCTTATGGCTGGATGGGGAACACCCGGAGCAGTGAACCCCTTGGAATACGGCAGCGGCGAAGGGACAGCCCCGGGAGGTCGCAGGGGGCAGATCCCACCCATCCACTCCAAAGTGACCGCGTGGTGTTTTTTGGGAAGGAGGGACTAAGGTTCTACTGCGTGGGCTGCCCGGTCCCACCGCTGCTCCGCGAGCTCGGGGGGCATAAATAAAAAAAAAAACAACAAAAAAAAAAAAAACCAACTTTAGGAGGATGAGGAGGAGGATGGGAAGAAAAAACCCAAACTAAATAGCTTGTCTCCCTTGCTAGTCCTAATTGTTTTGTTGCTGCTGGCCGTTGGGATGGTGGGAACAAATGGGGTGGGAGATGTGGCCAATTTACACACTTTTAGAAGAGCGTGAAGCGCTGGAATTAGCTGAAGTTGAGATCCCGTCCTCGCTATTTTCCGCTCGTCAGTCTCTGGCTGTCTTTCCGAGCGATTTTCCGCGGAGGCGCCGAGTTCTCCCCCTCGATCTCCACCTGCTCCTGGTCGCGCTTCTTCGCCGCATTCTGGTGGACAGAGGGACCCCCGTTAGCCCCCCCAGGCCCTGCATCCCACCGGCATCCGGTGGGATTGAGGTACGCCACGTGAGGCCCCCCCCATGCCCTGCATCCCAAGTCAAGAATGAAGGACCCCCGTGAAGGCTCCCCCACCCCGAGCCCTGCATCCCACCTGCATCCCGCTGGGAATGAGGGACCCCCGTGAGCCCCCCAGGCCCTGCATCCCACCTGCATCCCACTGGGATTGAGGGATCCCCATGAGACCCCCCAGGCCCTGCATCCTACCAGGAATGAGGGATCCCCATGAGACCCCCCAGGCCCTGCATCCCACCTGCATCCCATCAGGAATGAGGGACCCCTGTGAGCCCCCCCAGGCCCTGCATCCCACCAGGAATGAAGGACCCCCGTGAGCCCCCCCAGGCCCTGCATCCCACCTGCATCCCACCAGGAATGAGGGATCCCCGTGAGCCCCCCCAGGCCCTGCATCCCACCGGGAATGAGGCACCTGAACCTCATAAACCTCCCAAATCCCTGAGCTTCCCAAACCTCCCAAATCCTTGTCACACACAGACATTTCCTTTTCAGCCTCCCCATTCCTTCTAATTTCCCCTCTCTCCGTGTTTTCCTCACCCTCTGTCCTGCCCCCTGGTCACACCAGGGGGATGGTTCCACCATGGAACTGGGCATTCCCAAATTCCAGGCTAAACCTGGAGTTAACTGAGCTTTTTTATGCCCTTTACATTCCAAAACAAATCAGGTTTTTCTTCCATTTCCAAGTGCTGGGCAGAGCCAGAACCTGCTCACACCCCCTTTGCTGAGCTGTTCCCACTTTAGTTTAACTAACCCTCAATATTTTGATGACTCTTCAGCCCAATTAAGCCCCAATCAAGCCAAAACACGAATATTAAAGCCTCAAAAAGGTACCTTTTTGTCCCACTGCTGGTGTAAATAACGCAAGAGGATATTTGTCTTTTCTGTTACTATGACTAAAAAAAAAAACACAAAAAGGGAGAAAAACACACCAGGGTCATTTTAAAGACAAGTCTCAAACCATTTTAGGCCTCAAACATTTTAGGCCTCAAACATTTTAGGCCTCAAACATTTTAACCCTCAAACATTTTAACCCTCAAACATTTTAACCCTCAAACATTTTAACCCTCAAACATTTTAACCCTCAAACATTTTAACCCTCAAACATTTTAACCCTCAAACATTTTAACCCTCAAACATTTTAACCCTCAAACATTTTAACCCTCAAACATTTTAACCCTCAAACATTTTAACCCTCAAACATTTTAACCCTCAAACATTTTAACCCTCAAACCATTTTAACCCTCAAACATTTTAACCCTCAAACATTTTAACCCTCAAACATTTTAACCCTCAAACATTTTAACTCTCAAACCATTTTAACTCTCAAACCACTTTAAACCACTTAAGTTTCAAATAAAGGAGATTATACACGTGATTTTTTTAATATCAGACCAGCATGAAGTCATTTAAAAAATGAGATTTTAACACTCACTTTGTTCAGAGGGAAATTCTCTCGTGGGCAGATAAACTGATGGGCGTCTGTTCTGTAGCAGAATTAGAGCAAAGACAGTAAAAAAGGGGATTTCTTTTTTTTTTTAACCCAAACCTGAAATGTCCACATAACGGGCTAGAAATTCTCTGTGTAATTCTCTAATAACACATCATATAAATACTTATTATATACTATATAAAGTTCTCTAACATAATAATATTCTCTCTGTATAAATCTATAATAATATACAACATAATGGACATAACTTGTGATTCCACCCAGCCCATTTTTATCCATTTTTCAGGACACAAGCCCTGGAATTCAGGGATTTACTCCCAGATGCAGCCCCAGAGCCGTGGGGAAGCTCCACGGGAGGTTTTCCTTGCCAAGCCCAGCCCCTCCACCCTCATTTCAATCCCTTTCTCCCTTCATTTCCCCCCCTTTCCCCCCAGTCCTGGGATTTCTGGGAGCACTCACGGATGCTTTGCACACGGAGTCCGCATGGAACCTGCTGAAGTTGCTTTTGTTGTAGACTGGTAACCCCTTCAAAAAATCTGCCTGGAAACACCAAAAAAACAGGTGAGGAGAAAGGAGGGATGTTCCCAGGAGGAACTGAGGGCTGCTCTGGGATCCCGTGGAACCCACCCCAAATTCCCTGGGCCAGGCAAACCAACCCCAACACTCAGGAACTGAGTTCCAAAAGCTGCTCATTAGAGGTGTTTGGGCACAACAAACCAGTTCTTCTTTATATATGATATAATAACATATCACATATTCTACCTTATATAATAAGTTGTAATTATGTATTACATATTCTGTATTATGATATCGTGTATTATATAAAATACTATTTCCTATTTTTTTATATTGATTCCTATTATTTTATACTAACTCCTATCCTTTTATATTAACTCCTTTATTATTTTATATTAATTCCTGTTATTTTTATATTAACTCCTATCCTTTAATATTAACTCCTATTATTTTATATTAATCCCTATTTTTATATTAATTCCTATTATTATTATATTAATTCCCATTTTTATATTAATTCATATTATTTTTATATTAATTCCTATTTTTATATTAATTCATATTATTTTTATATTAATTCCTATTTTTATATTAATTCATATTATTTTTATATTAATTCCTATTTTATATTAATTCATATTATTTTTATATTGATTCCTATTTTTATATTAATTCATATTATTTTTATATTGATTCCTATTTTTATATTAATTCCTATTATTTTATATGAACTCCTACTTTTATATTAATTCCGATTATTTTTATATTAATTCCTATTTTTATATTAACTATAATTGTTTTATATTAATTCCGATTATTTTTATATTAATTCCAATTATTTTTAAATTATCTCCTATTTTTATATTAATTCCTATTTTAATATTAATTATAATTGTTTTATATTAATTCCGATTATTTTTAAATTAATTCCGATTATTTTAAAATTAATTCCGATTATTTTTAAATTCATTCCGATTATTTTTAAATTCATTCCGATTATTTTTATATTAATTCCTATTATTTCCCGGGGCACTAACCCACCCTCCTGAACCAACCCTGCTGCAGAAGGCCCCGTTTCAGCCCTGGGAGAGCAGGGCAAAGGCCTGGAACTGCCTGGAGTTGTATCCCTGGATCCTGAGCCCCGGTCAATCCCTGAGTGCAACGATCCCAAACCAACAGCCCGGGGCTCAGGGCTGTGTTTACACACCCAGGGCACGGGGACAGTGTCACACGGGGGAAAGTCCCCTGTGCCACTGGTTAACCAGGAAAACCCACCCCAGCCAACCCTCCGGGAGGGAAAACCAGGAAAACCCACCCCAGTCAATCCTGCAGGAGGGGAAAACCAGGAAAACCCACCCCAGCCAACCCTCCGGGAGGGAAAACCAGGAAAACCCACCCCAGCCAACCCTCCAGGAGAGGAAAACCAGGAAAACCCACCCCAGCCAATCCTGCAGGAGGGGAAAACCAGAATCCAAACCAGGGAAAACCCACCCCAGCCAACCCTGCGGGAGGGGAAAACCAGGATCCAAACCAGGAAAACCCACCCCAGCCAACCCTCCGGGAGGGAAAAACCAGGAAAACCCACCCCAGTCAATCCTGCGAGAGGGGAAAACCAGGAAAACCCACCCCAGTCAATCCTGCAGGAGGGGAAAACCAGGAAAACCCACCCCAGCCAACCCTCCAGGAGGGGAAAACCAGGAAAACCCACCCCAGTCAATCCTGCAGGAGGGGAAAACCAGGAAAACCCACCCCAGCCAACCCTCCAGGAGGGAAAACCAGGAAAACCCACCCCAGTCAATCCTGCAGGAGGGGAAAACCAGGATCCAAACCAGGGAAAACCCACCCCAGCCAACCCTCCAGGAGGGAAAACCAGGAAAACCCACCCCAGTCAATCCTGCAGGAGGGGAAAACCAGGAAAACCCACCCCAGTCAATCCTGCAGGAGGGAAAACCAGGAAAACCCACCCCAGTCAATCCTGCAGGAGGGGAAAACCAGGAAAACCCACCCCAGCCAACCCTCCAGGAGGGGAAAACCAGGAAAACCCACCCCAGTCAACCCTCCAGGAGGGGAAAACCAGGATCCAAACCAGGGAAAACCCACCCCAGCCAACCCTCCAGGAGGGGAAAACCAGGATCCAAAGGGAGCAGCCACCCTCTGGGGAAAGGCAGAACCCCAAAAAACCAACAACAAAGTTATGGAACTCTGGCTCCCCTGAGATTTGGGAAGTGTCCCGTGTCCCTCAGCTTCCTGGAAGGTGCCAGGCCTTGACTAAAAGCAGGAAAATGGGGGAAAAAAAACCCCAAATCTCTGGGCCGTGGTCTCAGGTTTGGGAAGGAACTGGGAAGAGGGGGACACACAGACAGGGCTCTGTCCCACGGGATGGGACACAGCGGGAGAGGAAATCCATGGACATGGGCTGGGAATCCATGGCTGAGCTGGCAGCAGGGGCACTCCTGGGCAGGGGGACACACGGACACGGGACATGGGGACACAGGGACATGGGGACACACGGACACGGGGACACAGGGACATGGGGACACAGGGACATGGGGACACACGGACACGGGGACACAGGGACATGGGGACACAGGAACACCTGGGCATAGGGACACAGGGACACACGGACATGGGGATATCTGGACATGGGGATATCTGGACACAGGGACATGGAGACACCTGGGCATAGGGACACAGGGACATGGGGATATCTGGACATGGGGACAAAGGGACATCTGGACATAGGGACGTGGGGACACCTGGGCATGGAGACTATGGGGACACTGGGACACCTGCACAGAGAGCCCATGGGGACACCTCCTCCAACCCCCCTCCCAGGGGATCATTCTGGGGCTCAGGGGCCCCCCCCAGCCATGGTGGGGAACAGCCTGTACCCCAAAGTGCCTCCCCCAAAAAGATCAGAAGGGGGGAACCCCCCCCCAGCCTGGGGTGCCCCAGCCCTCCCTTAGCCCCCCACCTCACAACCCTTAATAATGCACAACCTCCACACCCCTCAACCCTGAGGGTGGGAGCCCCAAAAACTCCCCCAAACCCCTCAACCCTTAAGGACCTACAGCCCCCGCCCCAAAGGGTGGGAACCCCTAAACCCCCCCAAACCCCTCAGACCTCAAATCCTTAAGAACCTCTGCAAATCCTTAAGGATGTACAACCCCCACACCCCAATCCCTAAGGACGGGACCGCCACACAGGCCCACAGCCCCCCCAAACCCCTTCAGAGCCCCCCCAAGCCTCCTCAGACCCCAAAAACCCCTAACTCCTCAGCCTCCACTAATTCTTAAGAATATACAACCTCCTCACCCCCATCCCTATGGCAGGGAACACCCCCACACCCCCTCAGCCCCCCCCAAATCCCCTCAGCCCCCCCAAATCCCCTCAGCCCCCCCCAAACCCCCTCAGCCCCACCGCCCCCCCAAATCCTTAAGAACGTACAAACCCCCGCACCCCCGCCCCTGAGGGCGAGACTCCCGCACACCCCTCAACCCCCCCAATCCCCTCAGCTCTTCCCAACCCCCTCAGTCCCCCCAAACCCCCCTCACACCCCCCGTTCCCACCCCCAGGCCCCTCAGCTCCACCGCCCCCGCCGCGGCCCGGGCGGCCGCGGGCCCCGCAGGCCCGGAGGCGGGCGCAGCCCCTGGGCGCGGCGGCGCGGGGCCGTGCGGTGGCGCGGGGCCGGTGGCGGGGCCCCCCGGGTGGCGGTGGCGGGGCCGGGGCCGCGCTCGGGGCGGGGGGTCTCACGTACCATCTTCGCCGCCGCCGCCGGGAGGAGCCGCCCGGGCCCGCCCACTGCCGCCACCGCCCGCCCCGCGCGCCCCTATTGGTCCCCGCCTCTGCGCCGCGCGCTCCTATTGGAGACCGCGCCCGTCAATCATGGCGCGTCGGGGTTCGGTTGAGGCAGGAAGTGCCCGAGCGGAAGGGTGGGGTGCGCCGCTGGAGGGACCCGGATGTGGCGCCGCGGGGCGTGATGGGAGTCGTAGTTCGGGGGGGTCGTTCAACCCCTTAATGAGGGCGCTGCTCATTAGCGGCGTTAATGAGAATCACAGAATCAAACAGGTTGGAAAAGGCCTCCGAGATCATCCAGTCCAACCCATGACCCAACACCACTTTGTCACCAGGTGCCACATCCAGTCTCTCCTCAAACCCCCCCAAGGACGGTGACTCCACCATGTCCCTGAGCAGCCCTTTCCAAGGCCTAATGCCAAGAACTTCTTCCTAATGTCCAACCTAATCCCATCCCCACCCCGGAGCTGCTGCTGAGAGCCAGGACCCTGAGCCTGGAGCAGCTCAGGGGGCCGGAGCAGAAAAGGGTAGAGGTGCAGTGTGAACTAAACCCAAATTCCCTCCTTAATTCCATTCCCACCGTCCCTCTGAATCCTTCCATCCTTCCAGAGCATCCTTCCCCAGCAGCTGTGACCCCAGATTCCCTCTCCCCGTTAAGTTTTCCACCATAATTAGTGCAGGGAACCGAGGAGAGAGGCTCAACCACACTCTGGGTGTTTATCCCAGGACAACCACGAAATCCCAGGACAAACACGAGCGAAACCAGCCACAATTTACAACTCGAGAAACAACTTAAATGTACACTTTAAGAAGCAATTTAAATTTACAGTTTAAGGCCTGGCCAAAGCCCAGGAACAACCCCCGGGCACCAAGCCCTGGGCTCAGCCGGACCATCCCGAACTCCCGGCGGGTTCGGGGCCGTCCCTCAGTGGCTCAGCGACTTCCTGCCCTTGAGCATCCGGCGCAGGATGACGGCGATGCCGCCGGGGGTGCTGATCCTCCGGATCCAGCCGTGCGTCTTCTTGCGCTTCCTGTTGTTGGGCTGGTACTCGTTCCCTCGGGCTTTGCCGCGGAGCTGCTGGAACCTCCAGGGAGCCCCCGGCAGGCGGCAGAGGGTGGGGGGGTGGCCGGGGAGGAGCTCCGGGGAGTTCGGAAGGAGCGGGAAGGGGCAGGGGAGGGCGCGCTGGAGCAGGGAAAACCTGGGAGGAAAAGGGAGGAAGATAAAAGAGTGAGGAGGGGTAGAGCTGGGGAATAACGGGATAGAACCGTGGAGTCGCTACGGCTGGAAAGGACGTTGGTATTCGTCGAACCCAGCACCGCCAAGGTCACCACCAACCCTGTCCCCAAGGGCCACATCCGCGTGTTTTATGGACACCCCCAGGGATGACGACCCCGGGCGGTGTTTCCCAGTGCTTTACATCCCTTTTCCATGAGGGAATTCCCACAATGTCCCACCTGACCCTCTCTTGGCACAGCTGGAGGCCGTTCCCTCTCCTCCTGTCCCTTGTTCCCTGGGAGCAGAGCCCGACCCCCCCCAGCTACCCCCTCCTGTCAGGGACTTGCAGAGCCAGAAGGTCCCCCCTGAGCCTCCTTTTCTCCAGGCTGAGCCCCCCCAGCTCCCTCAGCCGCTCCTGCTGCTCCAGCCCCTTCCCCAGCTCCCTCAGCCGCTCTCCATCAGCCCTGACCCCCCGCACCCCTCCCGCCGCCCCGGCCTGCCCTCCCCTCGCTGTCCCGCCGCTCTCCCGAGGGTTTCACCCCCCGTTGTCCCCCCGGGCAGCGGCACCGTCGGTACCTGCGGCCCCACACCGGGCCCAGCGCCGCCATCGCGCCCCGCCCGCCAACAACGCCGCTGCCCATTGGCTCCTTCCTGCCGGCCAATCGCAGCCGGCGCCCCCGCAAGGGCTGACGGGGGTTGTGGTCCCTGGGAGCTCACCCCGCTGTTTCCATGGCAACGGCCCCACCGCGGCCTGGTCGCCACCGCGGCACATCGACCCCCTGGTTGTCCCCCCTTGTTGTCCCCAACACTGTCACTACATGCAGCGCAATACACAGGCACCGGAGAGACCCTTCCAGTGCCTAAAGGGGCTCCTGGAGAGCTGGAGAGGGACTTGGGACAAGGAGGGACAGGACACAGGGAATGGCTTCCCACTGGCAGAGGGCAGGGTCGAATGGGATACTGGGAAGGAATTCTTCCCTGTGAGGGTGGGGAGGGCCTGGCACAGGTTGCCCAGAGAAGCTGTGGCTGCCCCATCCCTGGAAGTGTCCAAAGCCAGGTTGGATGGGGCTTGGAGCAACCTGGGCTAGTGGAAGGTGTCCCTGCCCATGGCAGGCAGTGGCACTGGATGGACTTTAAGGTCCCTTCCAACCCAAACCATTCTGAGATTCTGTGATTGCTTTTCTGGACCGATCCCAGCTGTATCCCAAGAGCAGGCACAGCTCTGGGCTTTTCCCCTGCTGGACTTTGTGTCCTGGCAGAAATCGGCCTGTCAGGGTGAGGGAATGCGGCTCAGCCATCCCAAAATGTGAAAACAAACCAAAAACCATCCCTAATCTCATGTGTGTCCTCCTCTCACAGCCCAAGGGGCTTTTGGTGCTCAGACGCCGGTGCTGAGCCCCGACACACTCATGGCCCTGCCGTGCCCATGGCACCGACACACTCGTGGCCTCTGGGAAACCACAAACACCAGAATGTTCGGAAAACAAGCTAAAAAGGGACCTCTGTCCCTCATCCCACTGGAAGAGCCAAATCTCGGAGCGACTCCCAGCCCTCCCATCCCTATCCAGCCCCCATCCTTGTCTAGCCCCCCATTCCTGGCCCCCCAACCCACTCCAACCCCCCCATTCCTCTCCAGCTCCCCCATCCCTGTCCCCCCATCCCCGTGCAGCCCCTCCATCCCTCTCCCCCATCCCTGTCGGTCCCCCCCGGGGCTGTGCCAGGCAGGGATGTGACTGGCAGATCCCCGTGTCCGTCACACGCGGGTCCCTCCTCCTTAGGAGGGATTTCAGGGGCTTTCCATGGCTACAGCCTCCAAGGACAAACAGCCCCCCAAAGCCCCCGAGCCCCGGCCATGAAGCTGCTGGGGGGGGAAAGATGGAAGGAGAGGTTTCGGTGGGAAGCAGGTGAGCGGAGCTGAAGGGATCGCTCCATCCCGCCCTCCAGGCGGCCCCCAAAAAATTGGATTTAGAGGGTTTAGAGGAGCTGCACAGCCGAGCGGCGCCGGCGTCCTGCTCCCACCGCCTCGGGCATCGCCTCCTCTCCCTCTCCTTCGGCCTCCTGCGGGATTTAAACCTTTTATTCGCCTCCTCGACCTCCGACAACCCTCGGCGATAAATGAGGTGAGCGGCCCCTTCTCCCTCTCTGTGGTGGTGGAGGGCACGTCCTGACGGGGAGTGGGGGGAGGAAGGGGCTCTGCTGGGGGAGGGGGAGCAAAATGGCCAAAAAATGGGGGATTTTTTTCCAACGGGAAGGGATCTGAGAGGCGCTCGGATTGCAGGGAGCTGGCAGCTCCACTGGATTGCGGGGAGGGAGAGAGAGGAGCCACAGCACCGCTCGTGCTTTAATAACCTGGTTCCGTTCGGCGCGGCTGGAGCGGGGGGTTAATCCTGGAAATCAAACTTAAGGAACGGCTCCCCCCGTGATGCAATGGCACTGAAGGATTGCTGGCTCTGCCCGAGGCCCCGCTGTCGCTGCGTGCGTGTCAAATCCGCCCGGAATTTCGGCTGGGGAGCGAGGGGGCACCTGCCCGCGCTTGGCTGCCTCCAGTGCCTCCTTCCCGAGCCTCCTTCCCGAGCCTCCTTCCCGAGCCTCCTTCCATGGTTCCTCCCAGCCCGCTGCCGGAGGGATCCAGCCGGCTCCGCTGCGGCTCTGCGGCGGGAGCTGGAGCGATCCCCGCGGAAATCCAGGCGGGATTTAGGTGGCACAGGAGGTCAGGCACAGGTTACTCCGCTGCGCGGTGCGGAATCTTTTGTGTCTCAAGGTCTTCGTCCTTCCGAAAGGGAGCGGGGGGAGAAGGCGGCCGGTGCTGTGCCTTGGGGATGTCCCCTTCCCCTGCTCCCCTTTCCCAGCCCTGTGCCTTGGGGATGTCCCCTTCCCCTGCTCCCCTTTCCCAGCCCTGTGCCTTGGGGATGTCCCCTTCCCCTTTCCCAGCCCTGTGCCTTGGGGATGTCCCCTTTCCCTGCTCCCCTTTCCCAGCCCTGTGCCGTATGGATGCTCCCCTTTCCCTTCCCTTTGCCTTACGGATATTCCCTTTTTCCTGCCCTGTTCCTTATGGATGCTCTCTTTTCCCTGCTTCCCTTTCCCTGCTCTGTGCCTCAGGGATGCTTCCCTTTCCCTTCCCTTTGCCTTATGGATGCTCCTGTTTCCCTACTGGATGCTCCCCTTTCCCCGCTCCCCTTTCCCTTCCCTGTCCCTCACGGACTCTCTCCTTTCCCTCACAAGCCATTCCCTGCCTGAACACAATTTATCCACGTCCCCTGGGATCCGCGGTGCAGTCCCGGGACCGGTCCATCCCAGTCCATCCCCCTCTCCAGCTGCATCCCTGAGGATTTTCATGGCTGGCTGTTTGTCCCCCAGCTACACCCTTCCCGACTCCTTACCCCTGGTAACACTCCTCTAATTATATCCGGACAGGGAAGCCTGGCGTGGAAGAATAAATCCAGCTGAAGTGGGTTTTCCTGGTTTTTTTTCCAGGGGGAATTTTACTTCCCAGGGCTGAGATCAGGCAGCCTAAAGATTTTCTTGCATTTCTCTGCGCCTGGCGCTTAAACAAACCTGCTCTGATGCATTTGGTGCTGCAGTTTCTGCACTTTGCCGAGAGGGAAGGACTGGGAGAGGGTGGGAAGAGCAGGATAACGTTTGCCCATTCCTCAGGAGGGTCGTGTGTCATCATTAATGCCCGGGAGCCCCCGGGGGGGAAGGGATTAGAGCCCAACAAATTGTTCTGGCAGGTGGGATTGGGGCTGCAGCACAGCTCCTGCTCCTCTCCGGAGCTTCCCCTCCGAGGATCTGCAAGGAATCAGCAGATTCCAAGTCCCTGCTGCTCCCTGAGAGGATGCAGAGCTCTGGGCTGGGAGGGGATGGGGGTGCTGAGGGGATTTGGGGGACGTTCAAGGCCGTGGGTTCCGGCACCAACTCCCACTGTCCCTGTGGGAAACGTTGCTCTTGGTTTGTTTATTGGGATGAAATGTTTCCCAGGACTTCTCTTGGCAGGGGTGAGTGGTCTCCCCGAGGAGGAGGAGGAGGAGATTCTGGTCACTCCCAGCCCCCTGGATGTTTGGGATATTGGCTGTCCTCAGTGGTCTGTGCAGGGGCAGGGCCCAGGGAGGCAGGAGCACGGGGCTCTTTGGGGCAGGGTGACTCTTCCCTGCTGGAATGGCAATGGAAGAGCCAGCTTGGCTGGTCCATCCTGGTGTGGCTGTGTGACCACGGTGTGGTGGCACAGGTGTGGGCACTGCCCTGATACACCACACCAGGGGCTCAGGGCCAGCCCCACAGGCTCAGTGTCAGCCCCGGGTGCCCTGTGACAGCCCCATGGGCTCAGGATTAGCTCCACATGCCCTGTGTCACCCCAGGGACCCCCAGGGACCCCTTGGATGCTCCTGTGCCAGCCCCACGGACTCTGTGTCATTCCCACATCTCCTGTGTCACTCCCATGTCCCCCTGTGTCATTCCCATGTCCCCCTGTGTCATTCCCATGTCCCCCGTGTCATTCCCATGGACTCTGTGTCATTCCCATGGACCCATGTCCCCTTGTCATGTCCCCCTGTGTCATTCCCATGTTCCCCTGTGTCATTCCCATGTCCCCCGTGTCATTCCCATGGACTCTGTGTCATTCCCATGGACTCTGTGTCATTCCCATGTTTCCTGTGTGACTCCCATTCATTCCCATGTCCCTCTGTGTCACTCCCGTGTCCCCCATGTCATTCCCATGGACCCTGTGTCACCCCACATTCCTGTGTCAGCTCCATGGATTCTGTGTCACTCCCATGTCCCCCGTGCCATCCCCCATCCCTGTGCCATCCCCCATCCCTGTGCCAGCCCCACATCCCTGTGCCATCCCCCATCCCTGTGCCAGCCCCACATCCCTGTGCCATCCCCACATCCCTGTGCCATCCCCACATCCCTGTGCCATCCCCCATCCCCTGTGCCATCCTCCATCCCCTGTGCCATCCCCTATCCCCGTGCCATCCCCACATCCCTGTGCCATCCCCTATCCCCGTGCCATCCCCACATCCCTGTGCCATCCCCACATCCCTGTGCCATCCCCACATCCCCCATCCCTGTGCCAGCCCCACATCCCTGTGCCATCCCCATCCCTGTGCCATGTGCCATCCCCCATCCCCTGTGCCATCCTCCATCCCCTGTGCCATGTGCCATCCCCACATCCCTGTGCCATCCCCTATCCCCGTGCCATCCCCACATCCCTGTGCCATCCCCACATCCCTGTGCCATCCCCACATCCCTGTGCCATACCCCATCCCTGTGCCAGCCCCGTGTCCCTGCCTGTCACGTTCCCCCCTCAGCCTCTCCTCCCTCCTGGCTGCCACATCCCATCTCATGCCACGTTTCCCGGCCGTGCCACGGTCCCTCCCCGTGGTACCAAAGCCGAGGCTCTGCAGCCCCAAAGTAGGTCAGGAAGTTGTTTTTCCCCCAGCCAGGTTATTCCTCCCAGCCAGGGAACTCCACACGGATGCCCCGGGACTAGGGCTGGGGCTGAATCCCGGGATCCTTCCCCAGCATCCCTCGGACATCCCAGCTCTGCTGGGAGCGCTTTCCTGGGGGCAGGTGGGATTTATTTTGGGGGGGGACCACGATGCGGGTACGGCCTCGGGGCGATGCCA